CAGCAATGGAGTACAGCAGTGCGTGGTGCGCATCATAAATGCCGTCCGTGGCACTCTTCTGGATGCATATGTTTGTCCCTTTAATGAACTTCTTCCGCATGCGCGGCGCAGCGTCGGTGCCCATCGTTCCTTACCTGAAAGAAAGAGAGCGAGAGTGCCGGGGTCCGAAAAAGAGACGAAGAAAGCAGTACTCGAAGACAACAAATCAAAGCCACGCCACATGCCACGCTGTTGCAAACCCACATCCCACCCCCTTTACCCCTTCAGTTTCGCACAATTCGTTACGATTCAACTCGCCATTTTTCCATACTCGACAGCTTCCATGACTTGCGGTACAATTCCAAGGCCCTTTCAAAATATTTGGCAATCCTTTCCTTTGGCATCCATATGTTACTGAAAAGACGCTTGTTAGACTTCCAGGACGGGCTGGCAGCCTCGAAGCCTGGCTCTCCTTCGGCTGGATCCCGCTCAGCAATAAAACCGATGTGCTCGATGGTAAGCTCACCCCTTCCCGCCGCGCGACGGCAGAAGTTATGGTACAATTTCAGCAAGGTCACCCCAACGGGAGGGACAAACTCAACAACCACCGACCCCGGCGGCATCCACACACAGTTGGCGATTCCACCGCCGTGAGGACCAATGGGGATGTTCGCCTTTGACATTTCCATGATCTGGTCCGCGTATGCCATCCCCTCCAGGAAGAGGCGGCGGAGGGGTGCACCCGTCATGGCCAGCACCACAGCCTCGAGAGTGGGAAGAGCATCCGCCTCATTCACCACCTTGCGCCCACGTGTAATATTTGGATGGTTGCGGCTGAGGTACACCACCTTCGGTGCATACGGCAATATCCGCCACTGCCGTTGCTTCCAAGCGAACCACTGCTCGACAACCTCGGGGACATCCTCGCTATGGGGCGGCGCCAGAGACCGCAGAAAAGTCGCACAGCCTGCAAGAGCGGCGGCCCTGGCATCATTTTCATCGGCCCTCAGCAATAATAACTGATGAAGACGCTGCTGCAGCGCAACACGCGTCACCAAGGAGCTCCGAAGCTTCGTCTGGTCAAAGCTACTCGCGCTGATTCCAATAATCGCCCTGGGGAAGCACGTAGGTTCGGAGAACTCCGAGGCGTTAAGTATCGGTATACCCGTGAAATGGTGCAACAACTCATTTAACAAGAGGGGCGACCGGGGGCCAGTCTGCGGCTTGTCGTCAACCGCGATGATCGTAATCCACGTCGTGATAGTCCAAAGTTCAATTAACACCGAGACCAGTCGGACCCCTCATTAAGCAGATGTTCCTCGGATGTTGATTGCCAACCTGGAGACAATACTGTCCCATATTCGCTATACCCAAGTAGAAACATCATTACAATTCGTAATTCAGGGTTTCGCTGACATTATTTTCTGCATATTCACCACTACCCAGCCCCCGACGGGTGGAAGCGGACAAGCTTCACTTGACCCACTTAAGCAAAGCAGAGGGGCGAACGAGGACCCTCCCGGAGAATGTTGTATATCCAAGACCCTGACCGTGCCACGTAAACCTGTAGTAGACGGGAACCCAGCAGAAGGATACACCCGGGGACACACTGCTTACGTGCACTGTCGCCTGATCACAGACCCTCCATAGTTTTGGAGTGTGCACCTACATGTCCCTTCACTGCTTTTACTTTCGCTTCCCGCTGCTCCAGTTGCTGTCGAGCCGGATCCAGAACCGTGTTACTTGCATTGCTATCCAATTGCAGTTAGCCATATTTCACCGTGCGTTACTTTTCCCGGACCGTCACCGCATACAGTCAGCCAATGATACAATAGTTAACAGCATCCGCTTGAAGGGAAAAAATGAACAGAACGCTGATTACTATCTGTCATAGCGGCAGTATAACCTCTGTTCAAAATATTCTTTTGAATAACCAAGACTTCTCCCTCGCATCCAAACTTCCTGGCGGCATACATCATCGCATACAATCACTGTCTTTCAGAAATTAGGCAAATGCAATACGGAAAGGTGAACTGTGCAATTCAAAACAGCTGAATCATTTAAAGGCTACAAATCCAACGGTCCAACAATGATCAGCATGGGAAAAATTTAATGAGACGACTACCTCTTGGCCCTGGAAACCCCCACCGTCGGCAACGACAAAAAATGACGACGGTAACGTCATTCTGGTGAGCCAATTTCACAAAAACGCTTTTCAATATCCTGATTGGAGGTGATATAAGGAGCCAAAGCATCGATGCGCATAGTCGCCTAAATGCATTTTCTCAAACAAAGCAACTAAAATTTGTCCCTATTCCCTACTCGGCGCCTGCCATATACCACAACCAAAAAGGAACAAAATATCGCCTCATGTGATATAACGCTAAAAGGATCGATCGCCCCTTGCCTCTCACTCGCCTCACGAGCTCTTAATACAAAAAGAAAGGGATGCACATGCGCAGCGGGGCGGGGTCGGGAGCCGCCCTTGGCTCAAGAGACCATCCAAAAGAGCGGGTCACTCAGAGGCGGGCCGGCAACAAAAGAAAACGCGGGGAAGGCTCGGGCCCCCCGCCCTTCGGTCGGCTAAACCTCCTGCGCCGGGGCCGTTTCCGGCGCGGCGCTCCCGGGAAGCATTGCCAGCTCTTCCGCCATCGCGGGGTCGAACACAACCGGGTAGAACGGCCCCTGGATCGCCGCTCCCGCCTGGAACTTTGTCGTGTGAGGCAAAAGGGGCCCGTCCTGGACGGCATACGCCTTCTCGCCCATGTAGTGAATAAAACAGCAGCGCGCGGCATCCAGGGAGCGATTGCCGTGCGTCGCAAAAAGTGTCAGGGGGTGAATAAGAAGGGCCTCACCGCGTCTAAGGTCCACCGTCGCGGGTGGGGTGTCCATGAGCATCTCGCTCTCTTCCTCGTTGGTTATTTCCCATATGGTGTTGAGCTGTTGCGCCTCGTCTTTGGTGGGGTCATACGGAACTGGGGGGAGCAGGTCACCATCTCTCCAGCGGTGGCTCCCAGGCACTAAGCACGGTGCGCCGCGGTCCTTGTTCATCGCATCAAGCGCAATCATAACAGTCACATGGTTCACGGGCCTCGTGTGCTGCCATCTGGCGTAGTTCTGCTGCCAGGGCACGCATGGCCCCCTGCGGGCCTCTTTCATGAACACCTCATCGTACCACAGGCGCACGAGCGAGTTGCCAAGGATCTGCGAGGCGGCAACGGTAATGGTGGGAAGGTAGATGAGATCATGCATTCCCCATGATGCCCGCCATTGCCCTTGGCAGTAAAACAGCGGACCCCCCGTCAGGTCCGCCAGCGATGTGGCGTAAAGTTTTTCCGTCTTTGGGTGGTGCTCAATGTTGTTGGCCAGTTCGTTAACCTCATCCGCAAGTTTGTCAACTTGCTGTGCATCGAGCACTGGGTGTGGCAGTTTGACGTATCCTAACTGGTGAAAGCGGTCCACAATTTCAGGAGCTATCACAAATTGACCGAATTCGTCCACGTCGGGGAGTGTCCCGTACAAACATCCAAGGGCACCGTTAAGATCCTTGAGATCCTCTGGCAGCTGCCCACGGAGGAACTTCAACACGTACGATTTGCAACGGTGTAGTGAAGTCTGTGGTGCCACCCTCAGGGAGGGTGCGATACCGGGTAATCGGAGACGCCGCAAACCGCAACCAGACATGTGAAGAGAATGCGTTCCAGCACTAAAACGTTACACACGCCCCTTCCCACACACACATCATAATCAAAAAAACAACAACGACAAGAAACAGCAGATAAATAACAGCACCAGAATATCCAATGATAATAGAGAGCAGCTCAAAATTACGCCCCAGCAAAGGGATGCCCCCCACCAATAATAATTCC